GAAGGTATTTTAAAGGTACAAAAGGTAAAAAAATAATAGAGACATGCTGATTAATTTTATTTGAATTTTTTTAAGAATTTTTGCATTTTCCAGGAAAACATTCTATTGTAAAAAATGGAATAAAATTGATTATTCTTAGTTTATTGCAATTTAGGTTCACTTGGTATGTTTTTTTTAAGGTATTTTAAAGGTACAAAAGGTAAAAAAATAATAGAGACATGCTGATTAATTTTATTTGAATTTTTTTAGAATTTTTGCATTTTCCAGGAAAACATTCTATTCTAAAAAATGGAATAAAATTGATTATTCTTAGTCTACTGCAATTTAGGTTCAATTGGTATGTTTTTTTGAAGGTATTTTGAAGGTACAAAGGGTAAAAAAATAATAGAGACATGCTGATTAATTTTATTTGAATTTTTTAAGAATTTTTGCATATTCCAGGAAAACATTCTATTCTAAAAAATGGAATAAAATTGATTATTCTTAGTCTACTGCAATTTAGGTTCAATTGGTAGGTTTTTTTGAAGGTATTTTGAAGGTACAAAAGGTAAAAAAATAAGAGAGACATGCTGATTAATTTTATTTGAATTTTTTAAGAATTTTTGCATTTTCCAGGAAAACATTCTATTCTAAAAAATGGAATAAAATTGATTATTCATAGTTTATTGCAATTTAGGTTCAATTGGTAGGTTTTTTTGAAGGTATTTTGAAGGTACAAAAGGTAAAAAAATAATAGAGACATGCTGATTAATTTTTTTTGAATTTTTTTTTAAGAATTTTTGCATTTTCCAGGAAAACATTCTATTCTAAAAAATGGAATAAAATTGATTATTCTTAGTCTACTGCAATTTAGGTTCAATTGGTAGGTTTTTTTTGAAGGTAATACGTGTTGTTTTAAGGTAAAAAAATAATAGAGACATGCTGATTAATTTTATTTAAATTTTTTAAGAATTTTTGCATTTTCCAGGAAAACATTCTATTGTAAAAAATGAAATAAAATTCATTATTCTTAGTTTATTGCAATTTAGGTTCAATTGGTATGTTTTTTTGAAGGTATTTTAAAGGTACAAAAGGTAAAAAAATAATAGAGACATGCTGATTAATTTTTTTTGAATTTTTTTTTAAGAATTTTTGCATTTTCCAGGAAAACATTCTATTCTAAAAAATGGAATAAAATTAATTATTCTTAGTTTATTGCAATTTAGGTTCAATTGGTAGGTTTTTTTTGAAGGTAATACGTGTTGTTTTAAGGTAAAAAAATAATAGAGACATGCTGATTAATTTTATTTGAATTTTTTAAGAATTTTTTCATTTTCCAGGAAAACATTCTATTCTAAAAAATGGAATAAAATTCATTATTCTTAGTTTATTGCAATTTAGGTTCAATTGGTAGGTTTTTTTTGAAGTTAATACGTGTTGTTTTAAGGTAAAAAAATAATAGAGTAAAATTTTTTTCTTTTCAATCTATTGAAGCAAATAAATTTTTTTTATGATTGAAAAATGTTGATTTTTTTTTATAAATTTGTAATTTTTTTTTATCTTTAGGCAAATTTACATATTTTATTCAACTTTAATGTAATTGATATTTGACTTACGTGAAGTGTATGTGTACTTATGTTTCTTTGGAGAAAACATATTTCGCCTAAGCATTTAAGGAACTAATAAATATTAAATTCAAGTTATAATTATATTAATGTTACGAAAGAAATTATCGCAATGTATGGTATCTATCTGTTTTCAACTCGGCGCCCGAGAAGTTTCGGAACTAACAGCTATAACTCTCTCATTGGTTGAAAAATGGGCGCTCTTATTTAAAAAGTAAAAATCACTAATTTAAAGTATTTTAAAGATTTGTATTTTTACCAATAAAAATTGAGTATAAAAACTATTTTTATACAATATTTTAAAATATTTTAAAAAATTCATATATATTGAAAGAATGTTTATCGCGTTGAGTGTATAATAAAATTGAATGACTCTAATTTGAATGATTTGGAGCATTGAGACCATTCCAATCAATTTCATTCAATTTGGATATACACTGAGAGGGGAGAAAAATCCCAGGACCAATATATATATTAAACTATGTCACGCTTTTTAGCAGAATATTTTCACTTCTTCACCGAATGATGTGTCACGTGACAGGTGTACAGAAGACATATATTATACTCAAATCGACAAAATTTATATATACCACTGTATCCCCTTTCTTTCAATTTGCCTCACGTTCTCTCTTTTAATCATTTAATAAAATCGATTGATAGATTGCATTTGGGCTCTGGTTTTATAAAAACTTTGTCGAATCAATCAATTTTCCCTAAATGGGTTAAAGTCTTATATATATATATATATATATAGAGAGAGGGTAAAAAAGGTTCAATATTGCTATATATGACAAGTTGACGCATTTAACTTTAGGTTCTCACGTTTTTTATTTTAAAATATGATAAATTCACTCCGTATATTTGTAAAAGAAATTTATTTCATTCAAATAATCGATTATCATATAAATATTTATTTTTATTTAAATTAAATAAATTGTATATGAAGAAATAATTTGTTCTCTTTATTAAGAATAAAAAAAACATTCTTTTCTTTTAATACGAAAATAAATGGATGACAAAAGTATTGTATATGAAATTTTGATGCGCGTATACAACTTTTATAGGGAATAGTTTATCTTCACAGGTATTTCGTGAAAATGTGACAAAAAAAAAGGTTCGCAGTTTTTTTTTCGAAGAAACCTATTCTATTATTTATAAGACGATAAAAAAAAAAACCCCCCCACTGAAGAAAATGGCAAGCTATCAACACATATATTTTTTATCGTCAAAAAAGGTTTGCGTTCAAATATCTCTTATCTTACGATTGATTTCTCATTTTTTTTTCATGCCGAAACATATTATTAAAACATAATATATAGTGAGAGGACATCGAAAAAAATTTTATTGTTGAAAACAATAATGGTAAGAAAAATAATAACACATTATAATTGAAATAACGTGATTGTCCCTCGTTAAGGAACAAATTAATTTAACGACTCAATATAATGTTCACTAAATGACCACAATTTTCGAATATTATTACACCCTAAAGCGAGCACACCCTGTTGTATATTATTTCTGATTTATCTAACTTTATTATCACCGAAATAGGGGTGAAAGCATTCTAATGTATTAAAATTATAACACATGGATAAACATTATTTGTATATATATTTAAATAATAAATTTAAATATTATATGTTTAGGGAATAAATTTAAATTTAGTTCCAAGACTGGGAAATATTAGAAAATTTATTTTCATGAATGTTGAAAGGGAATATGAACAGGAAGTTTCATTACTGCGACATTCGAGATTTTCTCTTGCTTGTATATATATATCCACCGCTTTATTTTGTCTATACATATTAGAGTGACCCTTGTAAAGTTTGCTTAAGTTAACCATTAGAAGAAGCGTTGTACAAAACCGAAACACTGTAACTTGTTTTTTTATTTACGTTATGTTACCCATTATTTTTCTTCTTTCAAAAAAGTCCACCAACTTCGATTAAGTAGTTAATTCCCGATTAGTTTAATGATCAGCCTTATGTCCCACCATCTTTGCAACGGATAACGACTTAACTTAACCGTCTGATATTTTTTTGAAACATGAAAATGTAAAAATTACCGACACAGAAATCTACCTTACCGATTGCTGGTAAATTATTTTTTTAAGGAAATTCTAGGAATTTTTACCATCAGTCGGTAAGGTAGATTTCTATGTCGGTAATTTTTGAAATTTTCATTTTTTCAGAAAACTGTTTTACCATCAGTAGGTAAGGTTGGAACTTGGTAATCCAAGTTCCAAATTCCAAGTTCAAATCGAATCGAAACCTATAAGTAAAAAAAAGAAGAGGCGTTTTATCTTATGTTTAGATACATACAACAAATCACATCAATTATGCGAAGGCTTAAATGTATTTAGCACATAATTGGACCACCCCTCTCTCACTCTCTCTCTCTCTCTCTCTCTCTCTCTCTCTCTCTCTCTCTCTCTCTCTCTATATATATATATATATATATATATATATATATATATATATATTCTTGCAAAATATGCGTGGGTCGTGCCAGAATTTGCGGTTGAAGTTGCACCCCTTAAGCTAAATAAGACTTGTTAGCTGTGTAACACGTGGAAAGCTCAAATTTGAATAGTCTTATTTGGATTACATTTCCTAATTGCCCTTACTCCTTATTCAAATAGAATACTTATAATGCAAAAGCATATTGAAAATTATGTTTAAATTAACCGTAATTAAACCGCATTTTAATTTAAATTTCACATTACATTTAAATTTCATTTCATATAAAATAAAATTCATTTAATTTGGAAATAAAATGTTTGGAAATATATATAAATTAAAATATTATTTTCATTGTATAAAATTTTTTCTCGGTTAAAAAAATCTCGTAAAAAAAAAATTGATGATTAAAATTTACAATATGTAACTTTTTTTATTGCAACGTAATAAATTTCTAATAAAAATTATAATGATAGAATTTTTTTTTCTTACTAAAAATTGATGTATAGAAACGCCAACGTCTATGGTATATATTTTTTCGAGTTGCCTGCATTTATTGTCTGTACACGTCTCATCGATCGTGTTTTCCACGAGAAAGGCTCGTTTGTCTGATTATAGGGGCAAGATATTTTCAGCGTGTGCGTACAATAAACTGCAAATGTGTAAGCAACACTAAAACAGTAACCCTCTGAATATAAATGTAAATTATGAAAAAAAAATAAAAATTTATAAAATATTAAATTAAACGAGCGATATGTCCTATCTAAAAACAAGGGAATAGAAAAATAATGCTATCTCTACCTCTTATTTCATAAGTATCGAAAAAAGAAAAATTAAATTATTGTTTAATATAATAATTTAAAATTCATAAATTAAAATTCTGTTTTTTTTTATTAATTACTTGATGTAATGATTATATTATTTTTTTCACCTTTTCTTCAGTTTAATTTGTATATTTATTGCAACAAGAAAATAAAACATACATAACCTTAAAAAATATTTGAATAAAACAGACATTGACATGGTAAAACACAAGAGGGGCCATCCATAAATTACGTTGCGCTTGAAGGGATGGGGGGTCCAGAATTTGCAACATTCAATAGAAAAAATGGCACTAATGTATGCAAAATGTGCAACATGGGGAGGGGGGGGGAGTCGAAAATGGTGAAAAATAATGCAACGTTATTTATGGATGGCCCCTAAGAGTACAAGAGATGAAAATAGTATTTATTTCTCATAATAATAATTATTATTATTATATATTATTCGAAATTGATTTTCGCCATCTTGACATATGATACGAGCTTAAGCTTAACAACTACGCAACTACGTTCACTGCGATTACGAACCCAGCTCTAATTTGAGATGGATTCTTTTTCCTCAAAGTTTAAAAGTTAGACACTTAAAATGCTCAGTTTCAGCAAGTCTAACCAGAAAATGCGAGCATTCGAAAACCATGATTTCTGGTTTCTGAGTGCTCGCATTTTCTGGTTAGACTTGCTTGAACTAAACACAAGTGTTGCACAAAAAACACCTAGAAGTGTAAAAAAAAAATTGACATCCAGATACGAGTAGGGGAAGACCCCTATTACGTCTCTTTAGTCAACCCCTAAGATAAAAAATTCTCAAAAAAAATTTAATTTTTCTTAGGCAGACGATTTCAGTGCAAATTCTTGCACAAAATACACCTAAAAGTGTATAAAAAAATTGACAGCCAAATACGAGTAGAGGAAGACCATTATTACCACCTATAAGTCAACCATAACCAATATAAAAGTTCCCAAAAGAATTCAATTTTTGTTAGGCAGACGATTTCAGTGCAAATTCTTTTCCAAAATACACCTGAAAGTGTAGAAAAAATTGACAGCCAAATATGAGTAGAGGAAGACCCCTATTATGTCCCTTTAGTCAACCCCTAAGATAAAAAATTCTCAAAAAAATTTAATTTTTCTTAGGCAAACGATTTCAGTGCAAATTCTTGCACAAAATACACCTGAAAGTAAACTGCCTCACTTTTCCAGATTCTCCAGGTTTCCAGAAAGTGTAACAATCCTGAAAATGACAAAAAATAAAAATTTAGAACAAGTAATCATTTAAAAAATTTCGTTTTGTTTTTATTTATATTTGAACGAAATTATGTTTATATAATGTTATAATATACTTATAAATTCCATTATAGTTATATAAAATTATGATAAAAATTTTTCTTTAGGCAAAAAATTGTTTTAATTACAATTTGTACAATTTAAGATTACACAGCACAATGATTATACGAATATTTTGATTAAAATTTTAAAAAGAATTAAATTAGTAATTAATGGTTATAGGAACAATGTAATTAAAAAATGGATCAAAATGTTTTCTGATGAAAATGCTTTTCACTAAACAGTCAGCGTAGGCAATAAAAAATGCCGTAAAATTACATTTTTTAATAGATGAGAAATCCCTAAACTGACTAAATAATTTGTCACTCTTATTTTGCCAGTAAACTAGCGAAATAGACACAAAATAACGATAATTTAAATAATCTTTTCCTGAAAGAAGTTCTAAATTTATTATTGTAATTATTATTAAAATAATTTTGAAATACACAAAATAATAAAATTAAAAAATGTTTTAAGTCATTTAAAAATTCAGAACATGTGTACACAATTGCATTTAATATATGTTGGGCGTTTTGAGGTTAAAATGTAAAAAATATTTTAATAATTGGTACAGTTACAAAAAAATTAATAAACAGGTTAGGAAAAAAAGTTCTACATTTACCAATAGTCGTTTTGCTTTTGTTAATTTATCAATTTGAAATCTGCACTGCTTTAATATTTTCATTCTTTTCTTTATTTTTCGGCCGGCAACTGTCAACAAATTGTAAAATTATTTCACATTCACAAGTTTTGTTTACACTTTTTAAAAAACAAATTAACTTGTATACTTTTTGCGAGATTTGAAATAAATTAATTAAAAATGAAATATATTAAATTAAATATTACACTTTTTAAATAAATAAATAAATTACTTTAATGTCATTGAAGTCTATGCGTTTAAAAAAAAAGAAATTAAAACTAACCTCAAAATGTAAACTTGGAAAATTTATTTGCACAGCGCATTCTAAAAATATTAAATAATAAAAGGGTAAATTAAGTAATTAAATAAACAAATGCGTTTAATAAATAATTAATTAAGCACTAATTAGCAACAATTAATTAAACATTATTTGCATTTAAAAGTAAATGTTCATAAAAAAACAAACAACAATATGAACTTTAAAAACTGTAAACATATAATAGTAAACAATTTCAAATTAAAATGTTAAACAAATAAAAAATAAATCACTAATATACAATAATAATAATAATAATAATAATTAATCACAAATTTTCTCCCTGGCGGATTGGGTAAACCGAGTTGTAACCGAATTGGGTTACGTTTCGGTAAAATATTGTCGTTAATCGATGAAATATGTTGTAAATAACTATTAGGAATGGTTAATAGACATTTAGAGTGCTTATTTATGCAATAATAAGAATAAATTAAGATATAATTACTTCATAATATGTGTTTTAAGTGTACAGTGCATACAGTTGTTGAGTTACCATATATGTATATTACCATCAGCGGCAGCTGTGATACGCGCTTTAAACACTAGATGGCGTTGAAGATTACTTTGTGAATGAATTTCTAAAATTAAACCCTTGAGTGTCAAATGTGTAAGTGAATATAAGTTTTAAAAAAATAGATCGATTTATTAAAACAACTTTTTTCATTTGTACAAATAAAAAAAAAAAAATTATTAGGAACTTATATTCACTTACACATTTGACACTCTAAAGTTTAATTTTAGAAATTCATTCACAAAGTAATTTTCAACGCCATCTACTGTTTAAAGCGCGTATCACTGCTCCCGCTGATGGTAATATACGTATATATGGTAACTCAACAACTGTATGCATTGTACACGTATAAAACACTTATTATGAAGTAATTATGAATTAATTGTCTACAAATATATCAAGAATCAAGTACATAATATTTACAATATTATGACATTTATGACCACAAATCAGAAATGGAGCTCCATCTCCTTGACGTTTTTCAAATTAACCTTCATTACATTTACCGACAGATTGTGTACTAATATTTATAATTTTATATTTTAGGGTTAATATTTTGAATCTTCTTCTTCTTATTAATGACTTGAGGCACAGCCAACTGTCAGAACAATAAATATTTTGAATAAAATGTGCTTCTGCCGGAAAACCATATATCACGATGTATGCTGTTAACCAAGAATCACATGTGAATTTTAGAACTTATGGTTTCTATCTGTTTTCAACGCGGCGCGCGAGTAGTTTCGGAACTAACAGCTTCCGACGAAAATTAGCCGTTTTCTTATGCACTACATTGGTCGTAGTCTATTCTCCATGACCGTGAATACAGAAAACGGGGCCATCTTTTATATACAGCCGATATGTCTCCTTATACTACTTCGTGGTTCTTATGAAAATTTGTAGATGGCACCACAAACTCAGAAAAAACCGCATTGGTTTCTTTATCCTCGTAAAAAAAAATAAAATTGTTTATTAATATTTTTTTCTCTAAAATTTGTATATTTATATTTATTCTTTTTAAAAAAAGAAAACAGTAATTATTAATTTGAATTTAAAATTCAAACAATTCTTGCAGATGGCGCCACTTTTCATGTGATTCCCCTATTTTCATTTAGAAATTGAAAGCAAATGAATTTTTTTTTTTTCTATTTACGTATTTAAAGTATATATATATATATATATAACTTATCTTTATTGCGTGACTCACAAACACACTTGTGTAATCCTATAAAACAATTGTTCAAATACAAATGTAAAATAATCAGACCTAGTTGGACTAAAGTATAAAAATTTCATTAAAAAAACTAGTCGCATTTCTTATATATATATATTGGATGTGAAAAAAAAGAATTTTTATTCAAATAGACATTTTGGAATAAAATTATTTTTAATATAAACAAAAAATTTGGTTTATTAACTTTAAAAATTTTTTTAAATATTTAAATGTAGAAAAATATTTTTTTATTGTTTATAAATATTGTGTGTGATTAAGAAATAGAATTATGTTAAGAGACTTAATAATAACAAATAATTGGACAAACTTTGAATAGATTTGGAAAATTTGCAGTCGAATCTAGCCAATCGGATAATGAATCCCAGAGAAATATGTAACTGATTTATTTTTGGGAAGAGATTGGAGGGTCGAGCTTGGCTATTTTGAGAAGGTTGCCGCACTGAAACTGTTATTGTGTCTGTTATTCTTTTCGTCGCAAAATGTATGTATATGTACATTCCCCCCACTCTGAAAATGAGTTTAAGCAGGTCTAACCGGAAAATGCGAACAGTCGAAAAATTGCGACCCCTCAGATTCTAGAAGTGCTAATTTTCCGAGTGTTCGCAATTTCCAGTTAAACAATTAAAATTACATTCCCCCCACCCTATAAATGAGTTTAAGCAGTTCAAACCGAAAAATGCGAGCAGTCAAAAAATTGCGACCACTCAGATTCCTGAAGTGCTAATTTCCGAGTGTTCGCAAATTAATATTCAAATTTTTCAATATTGGTATTCTTTAAAATTAAAATACAAGTATAAAAAATTTCAAAAAAAATGTAAATTTCTAAATTTCAATCAAATTTTAAAAACTTCGAAAAAAAATTTTTAAATTATAATACTCGAAAAATGTTTTAAATTAAAAATTAATTTTTTTTTAATAAAAATCTCTATTTAGGAAAATAGAAAAAAATTATTGTGTTAAAAAAAATTGTTTTGGAATTCACTCTTTAATTTAGGTAACTTTTATATTCTAAAATTGACATTAACACCCGAAGGGGTGGTTTCCAAATTATATACATTAAGATATCAGATATTAAGTCCCTTTAAATCTAAATATATACGAAATTTTTGAGTTGAATGTCCTGGGATTTCCGGTCCTTGAGGCGATGCACTTCGCTTTTATTTCCATGCAGCAGATTTGTCCCCAACTTTTTTTTTTTTTTTCCTTTTTTCCACCTATATTTTATCCGTCTCTCTATCTCTCTCTCTCTGCTCATTGCCTCTGTTTCCTTCCTATACTCTTTTTGATCTGAGATCTCTCGTCATCCCCACTTTTTTCTCATTCGAAATTTAATAGCCCTATATCCTCTAGGACACTTCAGGACTATTTCCTGTGAATTCACGTCGAACAAGCCGGATGAGAAACCGCAAATGCAAAACCCTTTTATGGGTAAAAAAGAAATGCAACACATGAGACACGAGCTCATTCAGTTGTTTTATTTATGAAAGTGAGAAAATATAAAAAAATTTGTAAATCTCGTATATATAATTTGTTTTACCAAATGGTCTCTTTTAATATATGAGACATATACAGAGAAAAAAATTTCTTTGATTTAAAGAAACTAATTTCTTTGACTTACTTTCTTTCATTGAAAATAAAATTTTCATTGAAAGAAAAAAGTTTCTAGTTTTTCTTAATTTCTTTGAATCAAAGAAATTTGTGCATTAAATCAAAGAAATTCTAACATTGATATTTAGGGTCAAAGTAACATTTATTTGAATTAAATAAAAAAATTTTTTGAAACGAAGATAATTTTTTTTTGTATCAAAGATAATTTCTTTGAATCAAATAAATTTTTTTAATCTACACAGAAAGTGATAATTTATTTCATTTTGTTTTTTTAATATTTTAATGTATTTTTATTCCATTTTTTGTATGTAGAAAAATTTTATTTTGTACAAAAAAAAAATTTATATACATAAAAATAAAATAGTAAGAAGTAAGTATATATATATAAGGAAAAAATAAATGGTCTATAATACTTTATTATTGATTCTTTCAGTTTTGCCTTGTATTTCTTTTAAATTGCAAAATGATCTATGGTGAACATCGATTTTTCAGAAATTATTATTCTTATCTTATGTGACCTCATTTTATGGAAAAATTTTTCTTTTTTTTTTCTAGAAATATAAAATTTTTTCAAAGGCCACGTTCTAGAATTCCAATTTTGATTGGGAATTATATATGTTATTCTTTAACAATAATAAAGGACACGTGTAACTTGGTTGCTAAAAACTAAAAATTAGATTTAAAAAAAAAAAAATTAAAGTAAGCAACTAATTTTTTTAAAAATAATTTTAAAAGAAAATAGTTGCTCCAATATACACCAAAAAAAAAAAAGATTTCTATAATTCAAAGAAATCGCAATTTCTTTGACAAATTTTTCTTTGATACAAAGAAAATTTATTTGTTTCAAAACAAATTAACTTTGATTCAAAGAAAATTATCTTGGTTTCAAAGAAATTTTTTATTAAATTCAAATAAATGTTTCTTTGACGCTATATATCAATGTTAGAATTTCTTTGATTTAATGCGTACAAATTTCTTTCGTTCAAAGAAAATTTCTTTGAATTAAAGAAATTTTCTTTGAAACTAAAATTGTTTTGTTTCAAAGAAAATTTTATTTTGAAGGAAAGAAAAATCCAGTCGAAGAAATTGATTTCTTTGAATCAAAGAAATCTTTTCTCTGGGTGTATAGTAGAAGAAAACTAATAATTTAAGGTTAGGTTATGTTTGGAATTTAAAAATTTAGTTCCCTTAGAATAAAGTTGCTTCAATTTACAGCAAAAAAACTATATCAATTTAAGGTTATGTTATGTTTGGAATTTAAAAATTTAGTTTCCTTAGAATAAAATTGCTCCAATATAAAGCATAAAAAAAACTTATTTAAGGTTATGTTTGAAATTTAAAAATTTAGTTCCCTTAGAATAAAATTGCTTCAAAATACACAGCAGAAAAAAACTAATTTAAAATTATGTTATCTTTTTACACATTTTTTTGAAAATGAATCTCGAATTTATTTATTTTTTTTTCGTACAAAAAAGGGGATTCCCCAAAAAAAGTATATAAAATTTTAATATCAGGAATAAAATTAAATATATAGTTGCTCTGGGCATAGTCTCTAAAGTTCACTGCCTATATATATATATATATAAAATACACGTGCGCTAAAGAGACGAGTCGAGCGGGACATTGTATATGTACGGGGCAAATGCACCATGGTCGGGTAAAGAATCGCTCGTATGGGGGGGACACAAGAAGACAGCTGTGGGGCAGCTGGCAGCGCGTGCCACAAACCTATGGGGTCGCCTATACCAATGTGTGGATGATGATATCCAATATTCACTATACACAGTAAAGGCTATAGTGTGGCTCATAACTACCGGTGCTGCACGTATATATATATATTCCAGACTCACGATTCTTCTTTTCAACCTGATTTCTTATTTTATAATTGTTTTCATTGTTCACACAATTCATCTAAATATAAATTCAATTTTAATTACCAAAAATTCATCTTATTTCTTCATCCATCAATTAGATGTGAGGAATTTTAATAAAGTTTTAAGGCTAGAAATTTTTTTTTTTATATTTCTTATTTTATCTAAATTTATTCCTTTCAACAATTTATTTAAATAAACCAAACGTTTATTTAGATCAAATAAATATTTTATTTGATACAAACATAATTTAAAATACATCCAGAGAAATGTTTTATTTTGAATCAAATATATAATATATTTGAATTAAATAAATGTATATACATTTGTCTCACAGCTTACTAGTCTAATTTATTCGCAGTAAATAAAATTTTTTATTTAAATCAAATAAATATTTATTTGAATCAAATACAAATTTATTTGATATACCAATTAAACTATATATTTGGCCAAATGAGACTTGTGTTAATTTAATTTAATTTTTTTTTTTGCGCGCCTTACAAAAATTTAAGTTGAAAAAAGAACAAAAAAAAATTTTCTCTAAATGTTTATTGAAAATGAAATAAATTATTGAAATATCTTAATAATAAGGGAACTGAAATTTAAAAATTAAAATTCTTTCTTAATAAATAAATAATTAAAATATTCTTTAAATAACTATAAAATTTAAAAAATTTCAACCCCCCCCCCCCCAAGAAAAGATTTCTGCAACATGATTTTATTGAACATAAATTCTACAAAGTGAAAATAGAATTAGCTTATAGGTATATATATATATATGAAGGAGTTTCTTGCACCAAGTCCTTCTATATAATAAAATTTAAAGGAACATATGTCTATCTTCTAACAGGAGTTAGAGAGAGGGGGGGGGGGGTTCAATTCAGTGAATGTCGGGTGAATGTCTGCAGTGGCGAGTTGAACGATAATAATATTCGAACAGCTGATGTTTCTTGTAAGACCACCACCTCTACTCGTTGACTCGTTGGGGATGTTCCCAATCTTCGTCATTTAAATTTAATTTTTAGAACTCTGTGAGACCAGCTGCATCGTTTTGGTCTCTTGGACTTGAAGAATCATATATATATATACCCTCGACAAAAATATATTCCGCAAAAAAAAAAACAACAAAAAAAGATGAGAATCACAACCAAGGGAGTGTAAAATTTTTATTTTTCATATAAAATACTTTTTTTAAAAATCATTATCTACATTCGAATATATTCGAAATTTATAGAATATAATTGGAGAATTTGTATTGAAAATAATTTAACTAATATTTCAAAAAAAAAAAAAAATTATTAACGTATATCTTTTGCTTTTTGCAAAAAAGTTTTATTGAAATTAAAAACATAATTTTCCTTGTGAAAATAAAAGTCATTTGCAAAATTTGACTATAAAGTCGCCCACATAGCCACAAATTTAATAGATTGTAAATTTTGTCGACATTCAAAAAAAGGGAAACCACAAATTGTAGTAGGAGATAGTTTAAATTTTAATGTTCTTTTAACATCCTAGCTGAAATTTTTAAATTAATTCCAAAAAAATATGATTATATGATGGAGAAAAAAAAATTGTTACATTAACAGTTGGATTGTTAATATAAAACGAACAAATATGGTTTGTAGTTGCCAAAAATTTTTAGTTACAATAACAATTCGAAATTGTATTAACTACTAGTATATTAATACTACAAGTAGTACTATAATAGTAGTATACTAGTAGTAAAATAGTAGCCTGTTAGTACTACTATATTACTAGTACATAAAATATTATAACACTAGTACTAGTAGTACTATACTACTATTGTACTAGTACTAGTAGTAGTATACTACTAGTATACTAATACTACAAGTACTATACTACTAGTATACTAATATTAATTGTAGTACACTACTAGTATATTAGTACTAGTAGTACTTTATTAGTAGTATACTAGTCCTAGGAGTACTATACTACTAGTATAATAGTACTGGGAGTACTATACTACTAGTATATTAGTACTAGTAGCACAATACTTCTAGCATATTAGTATTATTATACTACTAGTATATTAATACTAGAAGTACTAAATTAGTAGTTTACTAGTACTAGTAGTACTATATTAGTAGCATAATAGTAGTACTACACTAGTTGTATACAAAAATCATTAAACTAACCTAATTTTTACATTTATAAAATACTTATTTAACATTATATAAGAAATTCTAAAAAATAAACATTTTTATTAATAAATTGAATTTATGAGAACCATAATGTCTTTATTGACATAGAAAAAAATATAATTTTCGTGCAACATTATCAAAATTGATACGACATTTCGTATATTGGTATATATGTATATATATACATATATTGTAAATATGGAAACTAACAAATTGGAAACAGGTGTTAAGTTCAATAACGAGTTATTCCCTTTTATTTATATATATTTTTATGACGTTAAGTATAACTTCTTTCCCTCGAGGAATATAATGTAATTTGAGAAATAAATACTCACACGTCATTTATTTAACATATATATATATATATATATATATATAAAATTATTTAATAATTCAATTCATTCAATTGCCCTCTCATTTTTATTTTTATTTTAATAACATCTTTTAACCAAATTGAACGTTTATATGTTATATATATATAATAAATTTTACCATGTAGTGCTTTACTTTTTTTGTTTTTACTGAATTCTGTTGTAAATATTTTTTTACTACAGTACTTTTTAGAAGAAACGCATTTTTATATTGCGTAATTTATGTAATAAATAAATAAATAAATAAATTATAATGGATATTATATAGGAGAATAAAAAAGAAGAAAAGTTATCAGATTGTTTTAAAATTGCCTTTCCTTATCAAAATTTGACTATTGGCGCGAACACTGCGTCAGTACTAGTAGTACTATATAAATAATATACTAGTACTACTAAACTACTAGTATAAATATAATAAAAGTACTACACATAGTACTATTATACTACTATTAGTATCACTAAACTACCAAATCTAGTAATAGTAGTATTACACTATTAGGATATCCATACTAGTAGTACTATACTACTATTACTAGTATACTAGTAGTATAGTACTACCATTACTAGTATACTAGTAGTATAGTACTACTAGTAGTATAGTACTACTATTACTAGTATACTAGTAGTATAGTACTACTATTACTAGTATACTAGTAGTATAGTACTACCATTACTAGTATACTAGTAGTATAGTACTACTAGTAGTATAGTACTACTAGTAGTATAGTACTACTAGTAGTATAGTACTACTAGTAGTATAGTACTACTAGTAGTTTAGCTCTATCAGTAGTTTAGCTCTACCAGTAGCATTATTTTAGTACTAGTAGTTGTATATTAGTAGTACAGTAGCAGTAGTATACTAATAGTAAAATTAACTACTATCGCAGTACTGACAGTACTTGTGCCAATACTTCGCCAGTACTGTGCCAGTAGTAAATTTTTGATAGGGTTTTTTTTTTCTAATCAGATAACAAAAAAATAAGAAAAAAAATTTTTTAAAAAAAATAAATAATATTTAACTGAAAATTGTAAATTGTTTTTAAAAGTGAATAATTTAATTTAAAAATTTTGCGAGGGTACGTCACTGAACCAACCGGTGTGGTGGAATAAATGTATGGCTCATAGTGGGGGGTCAAATTGAGCCAATGGTAGAAGGGATTTGAGAGGTCTACACAGGAAGCGTTCGTAAGCGGAACGGTTGCCGCGAACTTGAAGCGGCATTCGCACGTGGACCATCGTCGCTGCCGGTAGTGTGCAACCATTTTATAATAAAAATAGAAACATAAAATTAAATAAACAATTTACGTCGTAAATTGCGTCACCATTTTTTGTTCTAAAAATTCTTATCGTTCGCTGCCAGAAATAATTGTAATTGAGAATTATACTAGATTGACTTCGTTTTGCTCACCCCGGTAATCGACGAGAGTGCATTGTTGCTAGTTTCTTTTTTTTTTTTTAATTATTATTTTGTTGCATATATTTTAAAAATATATATATATTTATATATATTCAACTTTGTGTTAATACTGTGCCATTTTTTTTCAACTGTGTGATTATTTCAAAAAAAAAATTTCGTGCTCTCTTTGGATTACGATAAAAGGATAATTTGAAAGTGAAGTTCATAAAAGAAGAAACAAAAATGTAAGATTTAATGAGTTTTTATATTTATTGTTTTATTAATTTGATTTTGTTTAAAAAAAATTTATTTCAGTTTTAAAAATGTAGAAGAAATATTTTTTTTTTTTTTTGAATTTTTAGATATGAATTATATTTCTGTGTGGCAATATATCTGGCAAAACAATTTTATTGTCAAAAGAATAAATAATATTTCTATTTATATTATGAAATTATGTATATTTTTGGTAATAAATTTTTTGTTATTAATTTACTTTTTGTTAATTTTGAGTACAATTTTTTTTGTACCTTTATTAACTGTTGAGAAGCTATTAATTTTTTTTTTTTTGTTAATTTAGGGGAACAATCTTTTGTACCTTAATTAACTAATGAAAAGTTATTCTAAAAAGAATAAATCTTTTGAATTCTATTTAAGAATCAAAATCCTCGATTTTCTAAGTTTAAAAATTTGTATTTTATTTTTAAATAAGAGATCCAATTTTTAAATTTAGAATAACATATTTTTTCGGTAGAGAAATTTATGAGGACTTTTAACGTTGACTGGTGAAAATATTAGAAAATTATTATTTGTAAATTTACTAAATTTTTGCTATGAATTAGTTAAATTTTACAAATCAATAAGTAAACAAATTTTTTTTCTATAGTTTATTGATAAAATTAAACTTATTCATGGGGAAAAATCAGTTACTAATTATTTAAATTAGTTTAAATTTTTACTTATTCAGATTTAGAGAGTATTTCGTATTTATTGTTTTTATTTGTTTTTTATTTGTTTCTTATGTTTTTTTTATTTATTTCTTATTTTTATTTATTTGTGTTGTTTTATTAATTTTTTAATGTATTACTTAAATTTCGGTGTATTTAATGAAATTTTTATATTTCCTGACTAATCATTAATTTGTATCATCATTAAAATGACTCTTTTTCTTATTTCGAATTGTTTTTTGTTTTCTTTCAAAACTTCACTGTTTGTTACAGTTAAAATTTCTCGAAATTTAATTTCACATTTCCTCTTTTTGTTTATTACATATTTTTTTTTACAAATATTTGTAAATTTATTTATTTTTCCCTTCACGGGCAACATACTAATTCAAAAAATATTGCAAAAAAAAAAAAATTGAATCAATGGATCGATTATTATACGATCGCCATTTTATATTTATAGAAATTGCACAGATTTGCACAATAGTATATGAGGCATGACTCATTCAATGTGAAGGATGATATGTTTTAAAATTCCCGCGAATAAAGTTAAAAAATTTTTTGAAGCAAATTTCATTGTCAATTTTATAGAGAAATTTTTATTATTTATTTATTTGAAATGATTATTTTTTCTTTTGATTTAATTTTTATATTTTTTTTTGCCTTTCCATTTTTATATTTTTTTAAAAATAGAATTTCAAAAATCCAAATTTGAAAATACTTAAATGGAATTCAAAAAATATAAAAAAAAAAATAAAATCTTGTGCGTATAAAAATCAGTGATGAATGGGGAGATTCTATCAGGTTGAGGAAGGGGAATTAATGCTTTTTGCGTTTGTCGGCAAAAGGGGGAGAAAAGAAGGTGAAAACTATTATTATGTTTATTGAACCAAAAATTTCGATTCAAATTTATAGTTGAAAAAAAAAAATTCTCGTTATTTATTATTTAATTACTAATTTATTAATTTTTAATTTCAGATACTAAGAAAATTAATTGATGAAAAGTAATAGAATTTCTTTTTTTGTTTTCTTGCAAAAAAAAAAAAATGATCACTGTGAAAATTCACAAATAATAATAATATACTAATTAGATTTCTTCACTTGTAAATATATATATAACTTTTTCCTTATACTGTACTTTTATTTGAAAATTATAGTTTCCTGAGTTCGTTTACTTGAAAAACATTTTCGTACCAGCAATTTTAGTAAAATGTATTATAATTATAGATAATATATTGTTTAATTTGTGCTAAGGAAAGAAGTTATCTACGAAGATAAAAAAAAAAAGTCACTGACCAGCCTAACGTATATCTTAGTTGAGCATAAAGCATTGTATTGCATATCATTAAAAAATAACTTAATAAATATTTAGAAACATGGAATATAATGAGAAGAAATAAAATTTAAAGAAATATTTTTTAAATTAAATATAAAAAATTTTTTTTAATATTTTAACTAAGTATAATAACTTACACGAAAAAATAAAAAATAAAGGCCTTTTATTATTTGAAAACGGCTGATCCTTCTTTATATACAAAAATACGGGGACAAGTTTTTTTTTTTTTTTTTTTGTTGCCTCAAGGTTCTATATGAGATCGTAATATTAAAATATATTTTACATACAAAAAGATATCATATTTCATATTTTTATGTATATCAAAATTTATGATTACAAGAAAGTATAATTGTGTCTTATTTCCTATTTACAAACAGAGTGAAAATACCTTTTTTTTGTATACTACGATTTAAATATTAAATAAAAAAAATTAATTTCAAAAATATAAATTTTATAAAATAATGAAATTAAAAAATAAATTCCAAATTATAAATTTGTTTTATACAATTTAAATATAATTTAACTTCAAATGTTGACACAATCGTTTAGTTAAAATTTACGATGTTCAATCTGATGACGACTCTTTGCATTAAAAGTTATTTGGCATCAAATCAAACACAATAATTAATTTAAAATTGAAAGATATAAAGTATTTTGCAAAATACTATTTCTATTTTTATCTTCTGTAAACAATAAATATTGTTCAATAATGATTTTATTAATTAATTATAATTATTATTCCTTTTATATATTTTCTTAAAAAAAAACACATCTATATCAAAAAGTTGGAAAAATATAAATATTTTTCTGGTGGATAAGATAAAAAAAAATATTGTTAATCTGTAAGAAGAACCTTGAATGTTTTTGCAAATAAAAAATGGAATTTAAACATTTTTTAGATTTTTGTCTTTTATTTTATTTTTTTTTTTTACTTTTCTTTTTTTTATTATACTGATTTTGCAAAAAAATATATATATATATATTTAAACGAATGGTCGAACAAATATGGCGACAAAGAGGACTAGCAGAAGCACTGCGGGCACGTGTTCTCCACAACGTTTATTAATAAACTCACAGTCGGTCGACGATTTGTGAGCTTATAACGAGATCATGAAGCTTTGCAGCTTTGTTAATTCTCTTTTAAAAACTTATCTAATTTAAAGACAATTTTTATTTGTAATTCAATATTGAATTCAAAAAATTTTCGAATAATTTTGGGGGGGGGAAAAAATTACTTTTATAATAAATCATGTCTCATATTTGATTGGATACTCATAATTATTCTTATTATTTTTATTATTATTTTATTATTATAATTAGTATTATTATTATTGTTATACTATTATAATTATTATTATTTTCATTATTTTATTATTATATATATTATTTTTATTATTATTATTATTATTATTATTATTAGGTATTATTTATCAATAATTTTTTTAATAATAAAAGTTTATTTGTAAAGACAGAATTATTTGTATGTATGTACTATTATAATTGACATAATCAGAAGACGAAATCTAGAGGGTTTTCTTGAGCATGTTCAACACCCTTAAGTGCCACTTATATATATTAACAAATAATTTTAACTCCTTGAGAATAATAAAAAAAAGTGACACACATTTTTATCTTCTGTTTTCTTAAAAAAAAAACTGTAGTTAATATAGAGACAGCGAATATTTATTAAATTCTGGATATTTTTTTTTGTGTTTTACACGTCACAACTAATTTTTTAGCATCAACAGCAAATTTTTAAAATTAACCAATCAGTAGTTATAAAAAAAAAATGATTGGTTAATTTTAAAATTTACGCTCAAATTTTTTTTGACCAAATATTTATTCGGACAATTGAAAGTTCGGTAAAATAAAAATTCAACCTTTTAAAAATTATTTAATTATTTGTTAGTTATTAAATTTACTTAATAATAATAATTAATAGTAATTAATAATAGTATGGCGATCCTTAATTATTATTTGAGACAATTAAATGTTTTGTTTTTTCAAATACAGAAATTATTGGTTCAAATAAAATTTATTTAATTCAAAAAAAAATTATTTGTTACAAGGTAGTAATTAATTAGTTATTTAGTAAATTAGTTATATTTAATTAATAATATATATATGAATCTCAATAAATAATTAAAAAGTAACCGAATATTTCAATGAAATAAATTTTTTTCAGTATATTAATTAAAATTTCTCTCTAAATTTGAATTAGTGAAAAGTGAGCTACTATTTTCACATTAGTAAGAATTTTTTACTAATTTTTTAGTAAAATTTTACTAGATTTAGTAGTTTTAAAAAATTTTTTTTAACTAAAGTTTTAGTAAAAAAGTGACTAAAAATTAGTGAAAATTCTTACTAATTTAAATATTTAAATAAGTAGCTCACTTTTTACTAATTCAGATTCAGAGAGTAAATAGTTATATTTCTGTGTGAAATTATTTATGAATATACGGGGAAAAAAAAGAAATTGCTTACAGACGCTAACTGATGTTTGCTATCGAATCTATCAAAATTAGTAACCACAGCTAAATTTTCGACAAATTTTTTTGCTACTCTCTAAATCTGAATTAGTAAAAAAATGTTTACTAATTTAAATTAGTGACTCACTTTTTGCTTATAGAATTAGTTAAATTTTACTAATTGTTAGTAAAAGTTACTAGATTAGTAAAATAATAAAATAATATTAGTAAAATTTTACTAATTCAGAAGCAAAAAGTGAGGTACTAATTCAAATTAGTAAATATTTTTACTAATTCAGATTTAGAGAGTATATGACAACGAAAAATTTTGCTATAATATACAATATCAGTCGTAATTTTTAAAAATTTACTGTCACAGTAAACTTTTTTTTTGTCTTCACAGTAAATTTCTTCGCTGTCCCTATATATTAGCTATAACGTAATTTTATTGCTCTCTAAATCTGAATTAGTAAAAATGTTTAACTATTGTGAATTAGTGACTCATTTTTTGCTTCTGAATTAGTAAAATTTTACTAATTATTTTATTATTTTACTAATCTAGTAACTTTTACTAACAATTAGTAAAATTTAACTAATTCTATAAGCAAAAAGTGAGTCACTAATTTAAATTAGTAAACATTTTTACTAATTCAGATTTAGAGAGTGTGACAGTAAATATTTCGCAAAAACTTTTTCTATGCGTGTAGTAAAAATAATCATAATTTTCTAAAAAATTTTCTAAAATTATAAAATGAAATTTTTGGAGGAAAAACCTAATTTTCCAATGGAAATACACCGGAAACGGATTAAAGAGGAGGCTATAGCAAATTATTATTTGCCATGAACAGCAGTAATGTAATGGAAAAAAAAGTTCGACCGTGCCATGGAACTCAAATGATGTAAACAGGGCGAATATATATATATATATATATAGAAAATGATTGTAGAAACATGCACCGGTTTTCTGCAGCAGCAGCAGCAGCTGTTGTCGAGTTTTAAAGGATCTACCGTAAAACCAGCATTGGCAGGGTCGAATAGTAAGTTGGCAAGGATAGTGGCGGGCGGTAGTGGAGGGGGGGGTTATTTTTTCCAGAGGGGGACTAAAAGGCCCATTGGCTCTAGGTATGTACCGTTGTACACAATGAAAGCGGGGACCCTTCGGTATATATATATATATATAGTTAAGTTCCAAACAAGGCCCTTTCTAAAAATCATATGGAGGCTTATGCCCATGTACTTTTGTACGAAAATCCTCTACCTGGGTTCTGTGTAGCCCTCTTCTTGAAAAAAAAAAATCACAAGTCCTGCCCTCACACTATATGTATTGCAGCAAAATTTCCTCCTTGATTTCATAAAATGAACGAGGTCATGGTCCCAAAATGAGAATCTAGAAAAATATCAGGCCCTTTCTTCCCTCCTTCTTTTTTTTTCTCTCTCTCTCTCTCTCTCTCCGGTTTCCACACTGGGAAAGAGAAATTAAATTTCTGCAGCTGACATTAATTTGGCATCCATATGGCATTGCTGTGCTTTTTTTTTCCACATTTCAGCAGGAAGTGAATTATTTTGAAAATATTAACCATTTTTTCACTATTTCATTTTTACAAATAACCTAGAAATATTACAGTAAAAATTTTTTTTTTTAAATTAGGAATTATAGTACCTACAATGAATTTTTTTTTTTAAATTACGAATTATACAAATATTTATATAGGAGACGTATGATTATCCCATAAAAATTAGTTAAAATTTTCAAGAATTTTATTATCATGCAAAAAAATCTTCACCTGGAACAGCGTTAAGTTTCTCTGTAACTGCGATATATTTCTCTAGAATATAGCAAAAATTTTCTATATTTTTGTGAAATATATCGAAAATTTTTTTACTTGTAAAAATAATTAATTTTGTAGATGAATTTTCATTTTTCGAATTAACATTTGATTAGAATTTCGTTTTAAATAAATTTTTAACAAAATTTTTGTGTGTCGTATTTTTATTCTACAGAATTCTGAAAATGACGAATTTTTATTTGTCCGAAATTGCAAAATGACCGAATAAACAATAATCGACAGAAAGATTTTTGTTTTTGGACAAATAAAAATTCAGTGCCTAAAAATTTTGTTAATTAAAAATTCTTTAAAAAAGAAATTCTGACAATAATGTTAATTCGAAAAATGAAAATTCTAACTAATGATTTTTATGGTATAATCATTCGTCCCATTTATAGGTACAGTGAAAATTTTTTTTTAAAAAATTAGCAATTATAGAAATATTTATTAGTACCTATAAATTTTTTTCTAAAAATAGTTTGGAATTATTTTTTTCTTAAATTTTCGTACTTTTTTTCTGTTACAGACAATCATTCCAGTCAATATCAATGCTACGTAGTCTGTGATAAAAAAAAGAGTTTTAGAATCATAAGGCTGGTTTTTGAAAAAAAAAAAAACCGACAATTTTCTGTCATTTAATCTGTCGGGCGAAATAGGTACACATTTTTTGAGAATGCTCATGCCTGGAGCAGCAGGTCTCACTGCAGTTGGTGCAGTGGGCGCTCCAGCTCCAGAAGATTTGGTGACTGGTTTAGGTGCATTGGCTGGAACGACACCACAACAAAAAGATACCACGTGGACAAAATTATTTGTTGGTGGTTTACCATATCATACAACAGACAAAAGTCTCAGGGAACATTTTAATGTTTATGGCGATATTGAGGAGGCTGTTGTCATCACAGACAGACAAACTGGCAAAAGCAGAGGATATGGTTTTGTAAGTATATTTAAAAAAAAAAAAACAATTTTTAGTATTAATTTTTACTATTTTTATTATTATTTTAAATTATTTTAAATTATTTTAAATTATTTTAAATTATTTTAAATTATTTTAAATTATTTTTTAATTATTTTAAATTATTTTTAATTATTTTTTAATTATTTTTTAATTAATTTTGTATTATTTATTTTTATTTAATTATGTAATTTATATTTTTAATTTTGAAGCCCAAGAGCCACTGGAGCCAAAAATTTTCAACAATAATTTCTAATTTCCAAAAAGTAATTTTAAATATTGTTTTTGAAATTTTTTTCTTCATGTATTAAACTTTTAATTAATATTTTTTTTCCATTTCGTTTCCCTTATTCATGAATAATTTACTGGCTTGTAAGTAATTTACGAATGATTGTGATTACTGATTAATGGTATTTTCTTTTAACGTTATCATCTAATTTTCACGATGCTTCGACCCAATTGAAATATAAGGGATAATTTCTTTCATTTTTTTTTAAAAATGCTTATTGCTTTATTCAAAGCCTAATTTTATTTTACATTAAAAAAAAAATGTTCACTGAATTAAAAAGTGGAAGAAAATAATTTCTCCAAATTACTATTTTTGAATATTCTTATTTTTTTACATTTTTAGAGATGAAAAAGTATTATTTTTTATTTTTATTTTGTATTTATTTTATTTTATATATTAAATATATAATTATTGTAATTGTAAGAGTGAAAAATTAATTTTCATCAAATTTTATTAGTTATAGTAATAATATACAGTGAGGTTTATTGTATATGCGTTAGTTCATCATCAGTTGTCAGAAATACCATAAAATTGGAAATACAATAGAAGGATACATAAATCTATATGTATATATGTGTCTATATAAAATTAATGTATGTCCATAAATAAGTCATAATGTTTAACATAAAAATTTTTGTAGATTTTTTTTTTTTCAGTGACCTACGATAATTTATTTATCTTCAATAACTTCCTTGAAATTATCAACAACAACAAAAATGAATATTTTTGAGTATTTTAAAAAAAAATAAAAACTAATATAAATTCGAATTATATAGTAAATTATTATTATTATTTTCATTATTATTATTATATATTATTTTTTTTTATTATAACGGTAAAGTAAATGGATTTTGATTTTTTTTTTTTTTAATGGAAAATAAAAATTGTGATACAAATTTGAATTATTTAGTAAATTATTATTATTATAATGGTAAGCTAAGTGAATTTTGTGAATTGTATCTGATTGGGTGAAAAAAAAAAGTTTTGCAATAAGGTATCTAATGAAACATGTAATTACGATATTCCATTGAATATATGGAAGACGGTTCTCAACGATAACAAAACAATTTATCACAATAAGCTTTACTAGCTCTCACGGAATTGTTCAGACAGATATGTTTTTTTTTTTTTTAAAAAAAAAGAAAAAAAAACACGTTTCGACGACTTTACGCAGCTGATAACGTCAGGCTGTTCTTATAACCTTTGAGAACCATATAGACTTGTTTTTATTATCGCCCTTACAGAAAATACTAATTTGTAATTTTAAAAGGAGCATTCATATTTTACTTTGCTATTTTCATTTTCTGTTTTTTTTTTCTCATTATCATATAAATAATTTTTTATACATGGACCAAAACCAAAACCATCTATTTTGATTTAAAAAAATATATATATAAAAATAGAAACTAAAAAGCAAGAAAATTGTAGAATTTATGAAAAAACTATTTTTTGCTAAATTCTTAAAATTACAAAATTTCAAAAAAAATTTTTAAAAAAGTGAAAAGTAAAAAAAAACCCATTATATTTGTAAAATTATTTCTAAAAATCCATTTTAAAAAATGGTATAGAAATAATAGGAAACAAAATTTTTATGTTAAAAAAAATTAATCTTATAAAAATTGAAAAATTTAAACAAAAATTTTTGTGTGAAATAACTAAATTTCAGGATACGATTGATTCATCTGATTTTAGGTAATCATGGGGGATAGACCAGCGGCTGAAAGAGCTTGTAAAGACCCCAACCCCATAATTGATGGTCGTAAAGCGAACGTTAATTTGGCGATACTCGGCGCAAAACCCAGAGGAAATCTGCAAGCGAGTAAGTTGTGTGCAACTTGTTGAAAGAGTCTTAAAGAATTTTTTTTTTTTTTTTTTCTTTGCTTCTTACATACCTTCTAAATCCTTTTTTTCTTTCATTTAATTTTTATTTTCAAAAAATTTATGTGTGTATTTATAATTATTAATAATCTAAATTATATACAATATTTCAATTTTTTTGCAATTGAATTCTTTTCGTGAAAAATAATTTCAATTACTAAAAATTTTAATCTTAGTGACTCACGAAATACAAAAATTTAGTAAAAGTTTTTAATTAGTAAAAAAAAAGTTTGCTTTCGAATTAGTTAAATTTTACTAATTTAGTAAAAAAAAAAAAGTAAGCAAAAAGTGAGTCAAAATTTTTACTAATTTATAGAAACCGTACATTTCTCGGTAATTTTTACTCCGAAAATAGTAAAATTTACTATTTCCGGAATAAATTTTACTATTTGAAAAGTAAATTTAACTATTTTCGGAGTAAAAAATTACTAGTTTGTAGAAACTTCGAACAATTTAGATTTTACTTTTAAAGTAGTAAAAGTTACTTTATTCGTTTTTCATTTTTTCTCCATGTAAAAAATATAGTTGTATAAAAACTATATTTTTGAATAGAAATCTAACAATTTTTTAAAAGCAATTTAGGACACATGGAAAATTGTCTTTGCCACATTTTTTTTTTTTATTTCTTTCATTGAATATAGAAAGTCACATGTTTGATTTAAAATAGAAAAAAAGGGGTCTATCGATTTTTTGTCCATGACCTGTTTATATATATATATATATGTAGAGTACCTGTAATTTTAGAAACCAACGAAACCATAGAAAAAAAAATTGCAGCTGTTTATACATCCCGTATGCATATTTTTATTTGATGATTGTCAGCATTTTTTAAAATGATTTTCTAAAATAGTCGTAATTTATTAATTTCAATGTTTATTGGGGTAAAAGTAAAAAAAAAAAAAAAAAAAAAAAAAAAAACTCTCTTACAATTAGGAACCCTGAAATTACATTTTGAATGGTTTTATATTGCATAGTAGACCTAATCGATTATTTGTCATGAATTTTTTAACAGCCACCGTGTATTCAGGAAAAATATCATTGGTCACTTGACAAGCGAATAAGATAAACAATAATTAAGAAATAGAGTAGGATTTATTTTTTTCATTTTATCTGTAAAAATTAGTATAATATACAAATTATTATAAAAATTACGATTTTATTAAAAAAAATTTTTTTTTATTCTTAAATATTTAATTTTTCTAATTTTATTTCTTCTTTTATTTTTTCGAATTTTATTTCTTATTTTCTAAATTTCTAATTTTCTAATTCCAAAAATGATTAAAAAATTTTTGCGAAAAAAAAAAATTATGACTCAAAAAAATTTCCAAATAAAAATATATTTAATTAACATATAGAGAAAGTAATTTTTTATTTTGTAAATTTACAATTTCCCTTTTTTTTTACAATGAGGCCACTTTATGTTTGACTTTCACTCTAATGATACTTCTTCAACAACAATAGGTATATTACTATATATATGTTACTTTATTAGCTTTTACTGTCATCCCTCACCTATATTCAACTAAATTCAATATATTGAAGCAAAAAAAAAAAAATTATCACTTTTGACTTTTTAGAAATTCAATTTCTTTGTTTTCATATTTTATTTTATAATTTGTATTATTTTTGAAAAAATTCCTTGACATGAAAATTCTTAATTATTAATAAAAAAAAGGGGGGGGGGAGAAAAATGTAAATTACAGTAAAAATGTAAAATTTTGAATGTAAAATTAAAATTTGAATTATTTAAATTATATTGAATAATTTTTTTTCTTTTGACTTGAATTAAAAGAGCAAAGGACAAAGTGTCAAAGAATTTTAGACGACAGCAATGTGCATTTCGTTATAGAAAAGATAGAACACATACTGAGTCACTCACTCTCATATGGCATTGAGCCAACATAACTTGAAGATTTCTTCTTCTTTTGCGCGCCCTTAGTCTAAAATTGCCTTTAAGCCGAATGCTAAGAAATTGTTTTTCTTGTTTTGTCACAAATTATTCACTAAAAGTCGCGACAGCCGACGCCGTCTTGTATCCAAAACTTGATTCTCTCTCTCTCTCTTGTTTATTTTAGTTTCGAAACAGAGAGAAAGCTCCAAATGTCTGTTTTAAGAACATGTCAAAGTATTCTTAAGACCTCGGACAATGCCTCTTTAATTTATATTTTCATTGAAAAAAAAAAAAAAAAAAAAATTTTCTCCTATTTTTTTTTCATTTTTAGTTCCGTTATTCACTTTCTAAATTAAAAACTAATTTTCTCTTTCTAAATAATAATTTTCTTTTTATAATTAATAATAATTATTTTTATAAATAATAATTTTATTTTTGCAAATAATAATTTTTTTTATAAATAATAATTTTATTTTTGCAAATAATAATTTTTTTATAAATAATAATTTTATTTTTGCAAATAATAATTTTTTTTATAAATAATAATTTTATTTTTATAAACCAAAATAATTTTGAAAATATATATAAAAATAAATTTTGTCTTTTTTTTTAGCATTCCCATTCGCTGCAGGTATTCGCGCTGGATATCCCACAGTCCTTCCCAGCCAATATAGGTGAGTAATGATTTTACAAAAAAAAAAATAATAATAATTTTTCAAAATTAATTTTGTCATTTGAATTATACACAAATTAAGTGCAATGTGTTTTGTCACTGCAATCATAAACTCTCAGTCGAATATTACGTTCTCCCTCTTACGAACGAATATTAAATTATCAAAAATTCATATATTCCCCAAGAAACAAAAAAAAATTAAATTTTTCCATATTTTTTTCTCTATTTCCATTTTTTCTATTTTGCTAAATTTTTGAAAATTATTTTTTTTTAAAAAAACATTTCGAATTTTTCAAAATCATTTTTCTTTTATCAAATAATATTTTTTTCATTTTCGAATAAAAGTATTTTGTACAATACAGGGTGATTTCTACGTTCCGGACCCCCAAAAAAAATTTTAATCTCATTTTTTCTAAAAAAAATAAATTTTTTTTCGGCAGTCCGGAATATAAAAATCACCCTTAATTTGTCAATAAATATCTAATAAAACAGTCCGCAAACTTTGAGTTGATTTTCTTTTTCAAATTTTAATTTTATGCACATAATTCATGCGCATTTTTAAATTTAATTTAAAAAAAAATTATTTTTGATCGATAATATTTTTATTATATTAAAATAAAGAAGGGAACGCGATATCGAAGGCAGAGATCCGAAAAGGGAAAAAAAATCCCGTTTTAATTTAATTTTTTTCATTCTTTTTTTTTTTTTTTTTTTTTTTAAATTTATTTTGAAACGGATCCCTGGAGAGAGTTATTGAAAACAAAAAAAAAATTTCTGTTAAAATATCGACAATGACGTTTCAGCATCCTGAAGCGCGCGGGTTCTTGAAGGAGCTACGATCCTATATAAATGATCGAGAGTCCAAAAAAACGACACAGGGAAAGAGCAAAAAAAAAAAAAAAAATAAAAATGAAAATCCTGTGAAATGAGAGATGAAAGAAAAAAGAGAAAGAAAGAAAGAAAAAAAAGGGCTCGCGGCACACGCACACGTAAAACGATGCCATCAAGTACCTACGTGCGAATTTCTTTCGGTACATGAGCTGATCTTTTTTAGATCATCGATTTTTTTTTTTTTGGGTTGTGTTTTTTTGTTTCTTCTTTCTTGATGATGAAGTGACGTGATGATTGCGGTTGTTGAAAGACTTTGGAATTGTTTGTTACTAGTTTTCAGTTTCATTTTGTTCTTTTTTTTTTTATTTTCTCTTTACCTCCTTTTTGTTTTCTTCGCACTTTTTCTTAATCATTAATAATTTGATTAATCTGATTAATATATTTACTAGAAAAAAAAAAAAAAAAAAAATGAGGTCGATTTTAATTTGGTAATATATTATTTACGTGAGGGTTTCTATTTTCTTTTTTTTTTATTTATTTGATATGAAAATTGTGGCTAGAGATCAGATAGCGTGTAAAAATGGAATTAGAGTTGCGAATGGTGCGCGCGCAGCTAGTTAAAAGTGGGGATAGGGTGCATGAGCGAATCACAACGATTTCACTATTTTCGTGACCAATTGCGATTGATGCTTACACCTTATCCCCACTATTTGCGCGCGCAAGTTTCTCAATAGCGATTTTCAAACGCTTTAACGACTCTAATTTTCTTACATCTATTCTGAACTTTTATTGAATTTCAAAACATATTTTTATTGAATTTTTATTTTCATTAATTTATTATTTATTTAAAAATTATTTATTGTAATTTAAAAATTTTCGAATCCAAAATTATATGATTTAAATTATAATAAATTTTTATTATTAAATTTTATTTATTAAATTTTATTTATTAACTTCTATCTAAACTCCTTTTTCTCAATTTTGCACTTTTTTTCATTTTAATCTATTTTTATTATTTACATGTAGTTTTGCTTCGATTAGTAGAATTCTGGGTTTTTTTTTCTATTTTTTTTTCAATTAAATAGGTTTTGGTAGCGGTACTAAAATATTGTCATGAAATGAGATCCAGGCAGGAAATTTCGTCGAAATACCGACCTGTCCGTTCAAATAAGGAAAATCTATCAATATTTTATTTGCCACAATTCTGTCGGGTTAAATCGATATATCCTGCTTATAAATTATTTTTTTTCCAAATTGCATGAATCGATCTTGATACAAAGTCAGCAACAATGAAAAAAAAACAAAAACTTTTTTGTCTTTTATTTAATTATAATTCATTATTTTAACTATTTTTTCATTAATAGTATTCACAAATGTTCATTTTCATATAACCCTGTTGATATTTTTCAAAAATTATAATTTTTTTTTTTTGTATTTTCATTTTGTATATTGTATAAAAATTCAGGCCAAAAATCTAACATATTCTTTTTTTTTTATTAATAACCTTGTGTGTGTGGTGAAGGCTTACACTACACTTGGTGTCGCTATTGGTGTTGTATTTTTTTTTTTTTGGTGTTGTAAATGGTGATTTTTTTTTAAAATTATATATTATAACACACATTATATAGAGCTGGGATAAAAAAAAAACCAGAGAAAAATAGTAAAACGAAAAAAGTAGAATTTCAGTGAGAAAGAAGGTTAGTCTATTTTTAAAACGAGTGTCAAAACGTTTTTTTGAAAAAAAGTATTTTAACAGGTTTTCTAGTTTTATATTTTGTACTTTTTAACAGATTTTTAAATGACAGAAATCTATTTTTATTCTGCATGTTTTACATATTTTTAATTTTTCATTCACGTATTTATGAAAAGTTATTTAAACGACAAGTTTTTGGTTATGAATTCGTACTCTGCGCGCGCAACACGCGAAGAGTGGGAGGTAACCAATCACAGCGCGCTAAAGTGACGCTAACCTCCAAACAAAAAAAAATAGTAGTACTTAATTTTACATTAAAATTAAAAATAATTAACAGTTATTTTTTTCCTAGAGATATAATTGAAAATCTTAAATATGAGAATAATTATAAATAAAATAACAAAATTTTGATTGTAAAAAAAATAATTTTTCTAAATGTGTTTATTTAAAGTGATGGATGAATGATTTTTTTTTTTTTTTTTTTTTTTTGTTATTTGTGAGGAATGAACATGTCGTATTAAAGAAAACGATGCTAACGACGCTGAGTGTCGCGGGCGGCCATTTTGGATCCTGGCGTCAGTCCAATCTTAATTTAGATCCACCTGTCCCTCTTGTGTCAGCCTCTATCTTCGCGCACGAGTCTTCCTTATACTCGAATATGAGATTGCCTTCTTGTTTGAGGATTTAAGGCCGTTTCTTCTCGCGCGTCTCTGAACCTTCTAAAAAAGACTCTCTGCGCGCCGTTTCTATTTCCGCCTATAGGCGACGGATCCACCTGTCGTCGTCTATCTTCTGACGTAAATTCATCTCACTGCGATTTCAAAATGAATAATCTTTATTTTATAACTTTATCTATATTTATGGTTTCAATTGATTTAGATTAGAATTCTCAATGGTGATGGTGTATTTTAATTTATAGAAAATTAATTTTTATTTTTTATAACAAATTTTATAAAAAATGAATTTTTCAATACATTTATCTGGGGGTTTTCAGGGTCACTGATTATTAATCTGATGTCAGATTTTCAAAATTCAAAATGGCTGATTCAATATGGCGCGCAAAATTTTAAAAAGTTATTAATTTTTTATTTTATATCCGCCATTTTGAATTTTGACAATTTAACATTAGATTCGTTATCAGCGACCCAAATAAAACCCCTAGATATTAAGGTTTAAAAAAAATTTAATAACTCAAAATTTTGAGCGCCATATTGAATCCGCCATTTTGAATTTTGAAAATCTGGTATCAGATTGATAATCAACGACCCCGAAAACCCCCAGATAGCAAGTTTTATAAAATATTAATAATTTTTAAAAGATATCTTGTCACTTTTCATTTAGGGGTTGTTTTCACCCCTAAAACGACTTGATCTAGAAAAACGGCCAGATACGGGTATTTTTTTTTTTTTGGTCCTAGTTTCCAAAAATGTTGGATTTTTTTTTTGGGTCAAAAAAAAGTTGAATTTTGTGTAATATACAATATAAAATAGAATAAAATACACACCCTTAAGAAATTATAAATATTATATAAATGAATTTTTTGTATAAAGGCAGTTTTGTATTTTTTTTTTCTTCTTTTTTTTCGTGTAAGAGTTTGAATAGATACGGTTTTTTAAATATTTTTTTTATATGGAAAGATCCAATGGGGGGAATAAAGTTAAATTTGTATATGAAAGAAACTTCTTTGTTGCCATTGTTAACCACCGCTAAGAAAAATGATTGGTTAAGGGATGTTTCTTCAGTTGATGATTCTGCCTCTTTAAAACGAGTTTTTTTGTTCCTTCATAAATATAATAATATAAAAAATATATTATTTAATTCTTCTCTACTTTTTGTTATTTCTTTGTTATTTTTTTGTTTTTATTATTTTTTTTTATTTATTACACTTTGTATGAGTTCTTTTTTTCTAATTTGAAATCGGATTAAAATTTTGCATTTTAAGACAGTTTTTTTTTTTTTTTTGCAATAAAGGAACAATGCTCTTCTATATATGTGTATACTTAAAGCAATATTTTTAATTTGCAAAGTTTATGTGTGTTGCGCTAAGATTGACATCAAGCACAACATTGTTGAACTAGTTTAACAAAAAAATTTTTTCAATTTCACAAAATTCTTAGAAAAAAATCTATTTTTCATTTCAAATAAAATGTTTCATTATTTTTAATAAGAAAGTTTTAGATTTTTAAGAAAAGAAACTAAAATGTAAGAATGAAAAATAGAATTATTCTATAATTATGATTGAATCAAATATAAACTTTAAGTTGCTTCAACTAAAAGTTTCGTTGATTCAACTAAAATTTGGTTTTTTGTTCAAAAATTTGATTGTTTCGAAAAAAAAAATATTTTTCAGTGTTCCAATAAAGATTTTAAAAATAATACTAGACGAAACGTTATATCTTATTCATCATTGATGACTAAACTGATTTTAAATTTGGCAATTTTCCAATAAATTTTCCAGGAAGCGTTTCACACTTTCA